TCATCAAGACCTGAGAAGGAAAATAACGATACTAGAGTAGACAGGAAGTGCGGATGGACAACTTCCAAAAGGTGCAGCAAGGACAGAAATAGCAAGCCACCTGGACAGTCACCCTAGGTCTCACAGCAACGTTGGTACACCCAGTTATGGCTAAGGCCAAGAGTACTTGACAGACCACAACAACAGCAGGGAGGTAGAATGGCTGTCTTACCCTGACTTGGCAAGGTCCAGCAGTCTTCTATATTTGTCTCCTGCAAGCACATAGGACTGCATGTCCAAATCAGTGGTCAAGGTGGGGGGCAATTCTTTGCCCAACAGGCCATTAGCTGAGGCGAGAATGAACTCCAGCAGGAGCAACAACAGTGTTCAACATATTTTCGGGAAAGTGCATGGTGCTGTCAGGAGCAACAGTGTCTCATGTCAATGAGTACTAATGAGTACTCATGAGTACTAATATTAAAACATTTAAATGCCATGTTCTGCATGTCTATGAAGTGATTGAAGATTAAGCATCTATATCTGACTAATCTCATAGGTACAGGAAACATGAGTGAAGATAATCTCTAATACTCAGGAACTTAGCTAAAAAACTGATTAAAACTTCCCTGAGTAAAGCAGGAACAAATACTTAAACAATATAACTATATACATATACATACATATAAATCCCTAAAATAGAGGTAGAGTAGAAATGTCAAGACAAGAGGTAGAACTATAAAGGGCAGCATGATAAATATCCCAAATTGTATCAATATACAAATGTCTTGAATACAAGAAAAGTATACATACATAAAATATGGTAAAACTAATGTGCATAAAACATCGTAAGTGGAAAGATGTAACAAAATATAAACTTAATTTTACATAGCTTGCCACAAGTCAACATTCAATTGACTCTTCTCATAATTGCTTCATGAGAAAATGGGTTTCTTCACCCTCCCCAAAGAAAGATACTTCTGCTATTTATGCTCTTGAAAATGGTGCATTTGATCACACCACCTTCATAAAAACAATCCTTAAAACCTCTGCAGACAGTGAAGATACACTAGCATAGAACCCTCTCCAAAATGTAATGCTTCACAATAGAGATGTAGTGCAAGAGAGGCAGGAAAGGGTGACCCCTCAGAGGCTGTGCCCACACTAGAGGAGGGCACCAGAGATGAGGCCCCAACTGGGTGGCCCTAGCTTCGGAGCGTGGCCAGTTGGGACCGCATGGCCTCCAAGTCCTCTTGATCCTCCTCATCCTCTCCCTCTTCTGTGGCAGCCATTGCTCCTGAAGGCTCAGGCTCAGGAAGGGCGTCAGTTACTTTACTGGGTGCTTTGCCCAAGGCTCCTGCTGTGATTTCAAAGAGGACTCTGTCGATCTCCATTTCTGCTGCCTCTTCCATTTCTTCCTGATCATCCATGCTTTCAAATCTAACATCTCCTCTATGATTCCAGCCTTCATCATCTCTTTGGACAGCTCCCGCATGGTGGCCTGGAATTCTGGGATCTTCACCAGACTCTGCATGACCTTCATCACTTCTATGCCCTTTTGCAGGGAACCAGCTGCTCTTAGGACCGCAAGCTGGTTCTTCATCCCCATGAGCACAGAGTTCATGTGTGCTTTGGATGCATAGAGCTTGCTCACGGCCTTCCTTAACCTGATCATCTCCTTGGCCAGCACCACACAGACATCCTTTTGGCCCTTCTTGGCTGCATCTTTCACAGACCATTTTACTTTCTCCTCTTCTCTTTGGATATCAGACAGTGGGCTGGTGTTCTTTTCTCTCAGTCTCTCCATGCTGACTCCTCCCTACTACTTCCTTGAATCCTCCTTGTCTCCTAGTCCTGCCTGTCTTGCTTTCCCCTGATATCCAAGTCTTCAACTCAATGAGACCACCATGCTCTTTCTGGAATCCTTCCCATGTGCCACATTCAGGAAAGTATTCCTCTTATTTGCCTGTCAACAACTCTCATTTCCTTTCTGATCTTCAATGACCATTCATTGACCAGCTCCTTGGGAGGCTTCTCCTGGGTCTTCGGGAACAGCCCCATGACGAACTGGACTCCTCTTAACCCTTCCGACTTCCCATTCCCTGTGCCCAGGCAGGTCACGGGCAGCCGCCTGGGCGGGGCCGCAAAGAAGGGAATCGAGAGGAGAAGGCGTATGTGATATCTTCTATAACAACAAAGCCCAAATTCCCAAATACTGACTATAAATGTTTGTTTTCATTTAAATGGACTTTGTTATGTAAAATAAATAAAAAAATAAAGAAAAAACAATGTCTTGTTGTCAAGTTATGGAAGGTAACCTAGGACAATTGAAATAGCCTGTAGTGTTTGCGGAATGTATTGTGCCCCATTGACCACTACTCAAAAAAAGGGGATCTATACCTGGTACTGGAATTTTTATTTTTATATGATAGCCTATGATGTACAGGTGAGGTATTGTCTCCCTGTTACAGAACAACTTTATTTGAACTCCCTTTGTGTGTGTGTGTGTGTGTGTGTGTGTGTGTGTGTGTGTGTGTGCATTTTATGAAGCTTCTACAGAAGTGGATTTCTATCTAACACTTAGTGTCATTTTATACCTCCCCATACTTTCTCCTCTATTCTGCTTTCCTATTCCCTACTTCATTTAACTCCTTCTGTTCCATTATTTGCCTATTCCTCTTTACACTACCTGCATTTTATTCCATTCCACTGAAGCTCTCCCCCTTACTCATTTTCTGCCTTTTATGCATACTCTAATTTAAACACATATACAGTTGATAACCCTATTCAGGAAAGTAACAGGATACAAAATCAATGCACTAAACTTAGATAACATTCATACATTAGCAAAACAAAACAAAGCCATATTGAGCACAAAATCATGAAAGCAATTCAATTCACATTAGCATCAATAGAATATTGGAGTAATTCAAACCAAAAAGTAGAAGTGTAATATGAAAATCTGGAGAAACTGAAGTAAGAAACTGAGGAAGGTACTAGAAGATGAAGGTCCTCCATGGATCATGGATTGGTAGAATTAATATTGTTTAAAAAAATGGCTATTCTGTCAAAGGCAACATACTGATCCAATATTATCCCCATCAAATTTCTAATGCAGTTTCACATGAATTGAAAAAAAAGATCATCTCAAATTTCTCATGAAAACCCAAACTATCCAGGCTAGTAGTCCTAACCATTCTGAACAATAAACCACAGCTAGAGATAATCACTATATCTGAGATCAAGTTATATTACAAAGCTATAGTAATAGAAACAGCATAATACTACAATAAAAACATAAAATATTTTAAATTAATTTCAACTGTTTAAAAAATATGACAAAGCTATAGTAATAGAAACAACATAGTACTACAACAAAAACAGATGAAATGTTAAATTAATTTCAACTGCTTAAGAAATATTTTAAATATGCTCTCTAAACTGTGTTTGTGGACAATTTCCTATTCCACCTGGTCTGTCAGAGTCCTTTAGCCCCAAACAAACACACTGCCATATATATTAACTATAAATGGTTTGACCAACGGCTCAGGCTCCTTATTGGCTAGCTCTCTCTTAATTATTAACCCATTTTTATTAATCTAAGTATTTCCACATAGTCTTACCTTACTGGAGAATGTTCCAGCATGTTACTCCTTCGGCAGCTACATGGAATCTCTCTGGTGGCTCCACTCAGCCTCTCCTTCCCAGAATTCTCCTCTTCTGGCAGCCCCACTTATATTCCCTGCCTGGCTAATGACCAATCAGTGTTTTATTCATCAACCAATAAGAGAAACATATATATCTCAAAATTTGTATCAGAAAAGCAACTAAGGAGTTTCAAAAGAAAAAGCAACATTATAGAGTAGAAATATCATTCACCTTCTTCAGTGCAGAATGTGAACACAGTCCTCAATAATGTCTTTTACAAATATCACAGTAGCCTATGTCTCCAGACAAACAAAACCCACAGTAACACATTCATTTGCAGCTGGCTTAGATATGACTGATTATTATTATTTAAAATAAGATAAATATTACAGTTCTCATCCATTTTCACAGTTCATGAATTTGCTCATAATTAAGGGAGAAAGGCCCAAACCATATACAAGGCTTTTGTGGAAACTACTCAATTGTTTTTGGTGAACACTTCCCGGGAGCCAAGGGAATCCTAATAAAGATAATAGAAGTTTTATCAACTAGGTAAAAACAAGAAAGTGAAATAATCAAAGATCAAACTTAGACCTATTTTCCCCACAAAACCTTTGCTTTCTGTTTAGTGAGGCTTCCTTCTACATGGTTGTTCCTGTTTGCTTTCTATTGCTGTGATAAACACCACTACCAAAAGGAATTTGAAAAGGAAACAGTTTACTTGGCCAACCAGTTACGCAACCTAGGAAAGCCAACATGGAAATTCAAGGCAAGAGCCTGGAAGCAGGCACAGCAGTATCGACCGGAGAGGAGCATCACTTATATGCTTTCTCTGCCAGGCTTTCTCAGATACCTCCCTTTTATACATCCCACACCCATCTGCCTAGGGATGACAGTAGACTGGACCCTCTTACACCAATCAACCAGCAAGGATATTCCCCCACAGCCATGCTCACGAGACAATTTGAAGAAGGAAATTCCTCAACTGAGATTTCCTCTTCACAGTTTCGCCTAGGTTTGTGTCAAGTTGACAAAAACTACCCAGCACTGTGGTTTGCAGTGTCTCATCTCACTCTTCGCTATTGCTTAGCAAAGTATCTTTTCGAATGTGCTATTTTCTCAATGATTTAGCCCATAAATAGCACAGGAAGTAAACAATAAACATGTGCTACTAAGCGTAAATTGACTCTGATATGTTTTGCCTTTATATTTAATATATATTTATTATGATAATAACCTCATTTTCACGGGAGCTTTGACCCTGGGGGATTGAAAACCAGGGAAGCTATTTTTAATGCTAGAAAAGGGAAGAAAGTGCACTGCACAAAACTGGTCTAGCTGACTGTCTCTGAACTGCAGCTGCCCTGGCTCTGTGTGGTGGAGCCTCAGCCAGTGAAGGCAGTTCTATACAGAGATGCTGGGCTGGAGGCTGCAGTAACTGAAGGGCTCATTGCAGTATTTTGGTGATATTTGTGAAGATGCAGACAGATGTTGAGAGGAAAAAGTATCTACAAGGTAAATATAACTCAAATAATGACCAAAAGCCAGACTCAAAGATGGCAAAGGAGTTCTTGTTGGGGTAGTTTGAGGTTCCTGGAGATTGGTAATATATATCCATTTGCTTCATATCTCCAGCCCTCCCCGCTTCTCTCTCTCTGGGAAATTCATATAAGCCAGAATGTTTCCAAATGTTTTCTTTCCTCTTAGAATCGCAGGATAGAATCAGAGATGGTTAAATTTTCATTGTGCATGGCAGGTAAGTAGCAAAACAAGGCTATGCAGACAGATTTATGTCCAAACACCATCCCACCTGAGTCATATTGAAGTAAATGGAGTAAATGAAACGATGTAAAGAGCAATAAGGCAGGTAAAGGTCTACTCCTGTGGGATTTGCAATCTATTGGTGAGAGAGGATTTATCCACTTGGACAAATGGAGACACTGAGTACAGGTCTTCCAATTCAGTTTTTTTCTACTCCATCCAGGTCATTGGGGGCTCTAGATAAATGTGCTGAGGAATTCATTTCCGATTTGTTCAGACATTCAGTCTAGGGTTCTTTTCTTTCCTTTCTGGTCCTTTAAATTGTTACGGTTTGTTTTTCTGTTAGAAAGAAAGCAGATTGAAACATTTCTTACTGCCAGCAAAGAAGCATGATGCAATTTACTATTCTCATTACTCAAAAATGAATATTTCAATAGCTATTACTCTCCTGTTGTAAAGTAACAGAAAGGGGGGGGGATTTAACAAGCATGTGTGAAACCATTAATTGTCCATCTCATTTGAAGACACATTATTGATACTAATTAAATGCTTTTTTCAGAAAGAGAATGAGTTGTGTCATTTTATTTTCAGAAGGTAGAAACTGACTTTTAATTGTCAGGAATAGGTGTATTATTGAATTCTGTTATATTGCAGAGCCATGTCTTTAGATGTTAATATTCTTTATGATGCCATGAACACAATGAAAAGTTAATGAGTGATTTTAAATGCATACATTAATGAAATGCTGTGTCAAAAGATCAGGATTGAGTAAATAGTAAATAAATGCACTCAAGTATAATGTTTATTCACAATTGTTTAAATGAATAGTAGTGTTAACAATAAGAAACATCAGGTCACATTAAAAGAATGTTTTTTATTCCCCAAATTTCATGAGTAGCTATGTATCCTACAACTCTGGAAAATCCCAACAATGATATTTCCCCATATTTGTTTTTTCTTTCTCTTATTATTTACTCTCATCCTGATTAGATCCATAACGTATTTGTTGATAGGAGAAATATTGAAGATTGAGTTTATGAGTAGAAATGCTTCACTCAGGCACTGGTGAAGGGATATTCATATTCTAGAAATCATGCTATAACAAGATTGAAAGGAATTTTTCCATTGCTAACTTATAGCCCTTTTACATATATTCTCATGTCTAATCATCACTATTATGGTCAGAAGTCATAATATTTGTCATTAATTATCATTTCATGACAATGTGGCCCGAGCAGATGAACAAAGAAATACAAATGAGGTTATTTAATTCTTTTGTTTGTTATTTTACATTTCTTAGGTATTTCTTGGATGATATAATTAAAGTCTTCAAGTGCTACCTCCTCAGGCATTAACATGTATAAATCCCCTGGTTCATCCCTCTTTATACTGACCAAGTGTGTATTGAAAACAATGTGTGGAAATGAGAACTATTAGCCACTAATTTGTTAGAAGTACTTAGTAAGCATCTAAATTTTCATATTCCATGCAAGCAGTTTTATTTCTGCATATTGTAATACAAAGAGATGACATGTATAGAACCACTGCTTGCACCAATGGAGACATCATTGTCTAAGAAAAGAACAATATTTGAAATTTAATAAACTGCAATAATCATATTGGAAATAATATTTTATAAAATCAAGAAAAATAAGTGACCCTTTATATAAACTTAGATTGTGCATATATGTATGTGGATATGTATATGCTTTTACATGTATCTGTAGAGGTACACACATAAATATACTTGTGTATATATATGACTTTTAAATGCATGTGCATTTCATAGTAAAGCCAGAGACAGAAAACAAACCTAGTGAAATATTACAAAAGCAGCTCTTCCCAGTTTTTTTCTCCCAGGTTCTGGCAAATTTGTCACCTTATGGATAACTCTACTCCCCATCTTACTAGCACAATGTGATTTGGAAAACATTAGTGGCATTTTTCTTTTTGTTGTTTTGTGTTGTAATGCATAGTGTTTTTCTCTATTACTACGTACATTTTCTTTTTGTTTTTTTGAAACAGGGTTTCTCTGTGTAACAGTTCTCTGTGTAACAGTTCTGGCTATTATGGAACTCACTCTGTAGACCAGGCTGGCCTCAAACTCATAGAGATCCGCCTGCCTCTGCCTCCATTCTCTGGCCTGTTCCTATGCAGATTTAAGTAATTCTCTGCCCTGGTATCAAAAGATACTATTTTGATGAATCTCTCAACTGAAAATGGATTTCAAATATATAACTATTAAATAGCATGCCACGTTTTAAACAGGGAATTGTTATTGAATGGACAACATGACCAAACATCTTTGATATATTCTCGAATGGGCCATGGGCAGAAGATAATGGTTCAGGAAGATACTGTGTATTTTTCTGTTTTCTTTTGACTGAAACAGAGGATACAGGAACAGACAGCAAGAACAGACAAGGATGATAGTCATGAGTGGAGAACAATTTCACACAAGGAAGTTACAGACCAAAGGCTCGGGAGAGAAAATGTGATGAGCAGTCAGAGTCTGGGCCACTTGTTTCCTGGTCTTGGTTTCTTACTTAAAGAACTGAAATAAACATTTACACAGATTTCCCTAAGTAGCAAGAAAACTATTCAAAGACAAAATAAATGGTCTGGCAAGATGGCTCAGTAGGTGATAAAGGTTGGCAAGATGGCTCAGTAGATAAAGTTGCTTGCCACCAACTCCCACAATTTTCCCTCTGACCTCATTTGTGCCATGGTGTACGTGAGCATGTGCACACAGATGTGGGCAACCACACTATAAGTAATAAGTCAATAAAATGAATAAATGTAAAGATTTATAGCAGGCCAAATGAGTGAGGGTATTTAAGGGGCCCAGTTATTGTTTGCCAGTTTTGAGAGAAAGAATGGCTGGTTACTAAACAATATAGTTTGTGTGAGTCTCCATTTTAACTAGTAGGAAATTATGTAAGACTTTGCCCACTGCACATGTCCTTTTCCATAATGCACCTGATTTTAACTATATTCATATGAAATTATGCATAACATGGTAAATTGAGGATTGCACACAAACATACACTTGAGGACACAGACTTTTGCCTAATTGTGTCTGCATCAAAAATCAGTTCAGGCATGATTGACAGAAGAAGGAATTGACTCCATTGTTAGTAGTGTGGTGTGTTTGTGACATAATGCAAATGCAAATCTTATGTTGGTAACAGGTATGCAGAAATGGGAATTGTGCACATAGCCTGATCAGATAACTACAACATGATTAGAGGATTGTGAGTATAGTCCAAGTCAGATGGAGTTTAAGAGGGCTAAGCTATTCTCTACACTTGCTTGCCTCAAAGTAGCCAGTCAAGAAATAACAGGGAGGGGCAAGACCACAACCTTATGCTCTCTGGTATCTGTTTTCAAGGTTGTTTGGGTTTTGTTGTTGTTGTTTTGTATTGTTTGCTTGTTTTCCTGCAAGCTCATTATTTGATGTTCCTACTTGGCAGTATTTCTTCTATCAGTATTGCTTCTTTTGTTGCTGTTGCCTTTTTTTGTTAGACACGTTCACTTTGTAATAGCACTGCTTGATAGGATCAAAAATTGGGGATGAGAAAAATACATCACCATGGGTAAGAGAAGCCACTGCCCCTGGCAGAGGGTGTGGTCATCTTGAACAATAATGGGGACCTTGGTTCTATTATGAGCACAGCACTGTCCAGACTAGTAGTGTTGAAGGTGAAGTTGTACAGCAGCGGCTCCTACAGAAAGATACTAGCTGCAAAAGCCAAAGCAACAGGTATCAATTATTAGGCTACTTGACACTGTTAGCATGCTTGAAACATCTGAACTTCACCACAAAGGGGCTCATACCTCTCCTTAAAAAAAGCGTATCAGTCAGAAAAGAACAGAGACGAGAGCTCCAAGGCACGTAAGGGCATCTGAAAAGAGGAAAACAATATTGTAGTTGGCCATGCAGGGAGAATGTACAAGAGAAATAGGCAATGATAAATGTCTAGAGTAGCCATACCACATTAAAGCAAGTAGAAAAGCCAGGTTGCAGAGCACAGCATAAAGAGCATAGCTATCGGTCACATGACCATTTGCAATTGCAGGGATGGTATGCCCTCTACAGGTCAAATGTTTAATCATGTTTTTCTTTCAATTTCAAACTTGGTGCTCTGCAGGATAGCCAAAATTACTACCCAGTTATGACCACAATTTAAAACACTCTGATTTTGGGGGTGTGTTTTTGGTTGTTTGTTTGTTTTGCAATTCCCAATAAAATTTATGGAGTTTAATTTTTTAAGAATGTAAATATAGCTTGTCTATAGGATGAAACTTAAATAAGTTAGTTGTGTTCAGGCCCAAACTTAACAGAAAGTAACCTGCCAACTAAGAAAATCTATACTTTTAATATGTACCCTATTAAACTTTCAGTTTTTCATCCCTATTTCTTCCTGGGCAACTGCACTGTTTTTAGAGTACACAGTGCTGAGTGCTGTGATGTATCCTGTAATATAGCATCCCAGCTGGCTGGGTGAGCAGAGCCCCACATCCTCCTAGGAAGCTGCACTTACAACCAGAGGGTGACTCTTTAAGGTTGAAATTCCACTTCCAATGCATGATGAGTGAAATATCTGGAGGCTTGGCTTAGCTCTGTGGAACTTTGTGTTTCTCCATTCCTATGATTAATCACAGTTAATTTACACTTGAAAATAAAGAATTATTTATGTGCAGAAGAGACAGGGAATTCATGGTCTTCTGGTTTGTTTGTTTGTTTTGTGAGGTGTGGGTTGGACAGAAATCACATGACAAAATAAGGAAGAAGGTGGCTCAAACATTTGAACTTATAAAGAACTGCTTCCATCTATGACAGTCTTTCAGGTGATGGGATGATTTATACAGCCTCTGATCCTGAGAAAGGAACAGACCACACCTGATATCAGAACATATTACACACCTAAGTGGCAGCACGACATCATAAATGTTGTGTTTTCCCTTCTCTTTGCTATTTCTAAGAAGCCACTTTTTCCAACGAGGTCTTTCAGGTTGGGTGATGGCTTCATCGCCCCCTATTCTCCAAACAGATAAAAATCAAACACTCTAGAACCAGCGAGACACTGTTTCTGTTGTCTGTAAGCTGACATGAGGCGAACAGCGAGTGTCCGGAGCTTTGTTCACTCTGCCCTCTCCGTGTTGAAACAAGAAAAGCCTTTTCACCTGGCTGCCTTTGAAGAGGTACTCAGACTGCCATGGCCTCTAAAGGTAAGAGTAAAGCTAGCCAGCAACTAAATTTTATATATTACAACGAGAAGTGCATGGCTTTGAAATATTATAACCAGTGAGGTTGGTACTTGAAAAGCTGTTATTTATTGCTCTTGGGCACTGGCGTTTGAATTATTTTACTCCAAGGTTTACTTTGTCCTAACTTTAAGTACACATACATTTTGGCCAAAAGAATGTAAAACGTTCAGGTGTAAAATGTGCTTTCATTGCGATGAATGTAAACTTAGCAAATTAATAAGAGAAGCTGTAAAGCAAAATCGAAGGTGGGGATATTTAATTTAAGCACAGCAATGGGATGAAATTCCAAGTGTAAGTGAATTTGTAGGAAAGATTCCACATAGACATCTAAAAATGTTACTTAAACATTTGTAGTTGCTCATTTGTTGTTCATAATCGTGTAGCACACAGCCCAGTAAAGAATAGAACATCAATGCAGCCTCAATTTGATGCAGTAGGACTAAATATTTAGCTTTATAAACTTAAAATATTTTAAATACTTGGTATAAATTCAGCATTAAAAAAAACAATCAAAATGATCAAAGTCCCCATTTTAGGCAAGCAGATCTGCTATGAACACTAACAGAAAAGGGTACAGTTTCACTCAGAACCCTAAAACTGTTGAAACATCTGTTTTAATTAAGACAGATTTCAAAAGATGAGAGAGAAGGTTTCTTCAGGGAGAATAAGATGCAGTCACAGTAAAATGTTTCTAAAAATAAAGTTAGGATCCATGTTTATTCAATTATCAAAACAAATCACTATGAAGCTCTATAGGATAATGAAATTTGGTTGGTGAAATTTAGGGAAGCATTTAAAACTAGTCACAAATCAGATAATTCAGCAAATGTAAACTCTCCTAAATTATTTAAATAGATGATTAATTCCAAATAATGTGAATACAATCTTGTTTGTTTTATAAGCATATCTCCCAACATCTATTAAACAAATTGAGTAGTCTTTGTATTTTTCATTCTTATTTAATGTAGGCCTAAGTATACTGGGGAACTCTTATAAACAGATTATAAAATCTATCAGAAATAGAAAAATATTGAATTTTCATGTATGTGTGCATAGCAGTCTCTATTTGAAGACAAATAAACACAAACCTTGACAAATGTTTCCTGAAGACTGACACTAACACGGTCCTACTGCCTCTCATTTTATAAATTAAGGGCAGCAACAGAGTGGCCTGGAAGGGGAAGAGTTGCAAAGTGTGTAAAATATTTATGGTTTAGTTATACATTTTTAAAAGAGTAGATAGAAATTCAAAGCCACATAGCAATTCAAAGGAGTTTCTTATTCATCTGGTGGTCTGGGACTTTGAAGAAAATGTGACTGGAAAGCAATATTATGATTAATCTGCCAAAAATACGTGATTTTCAGTAATGAGAAAGACTGGATTTGCAAATTAAAGATACACTTAACCTAGAGACAAACTTTAAGATAAAAAAAAAAAAAAGAGCATCCCCAATGGTCAGCTAAAAACATTTAGCCATTGTTTGGATAAGCATTTATTATAAAATCATAGTAACAGTAAGGTACCATCTAAATAGGAAATCATGTTTGAGAATTCACCTTATCTCATTTTTACCTAAGATATGTTTGAAGGTATTTTTTTTTCAAAAATCATATCAAAAAAGATATGGCTGTAACTTCATATTGGTCTTTGACCTATGAAACTGTATTGTCGGGTAGCATCTTCTCAGAGACTCTGGGTAATGGGGCATTTTATAGACAAGTCCAGGACAGGCTGAACTGGATGCTGTAGATCCAATAGATCCGAAGAAATGCATATCATCTGGAACCCTTTACCTGGAAACAAATGCACGGAAAGGCATCCTCTGAAACTGCTGTTAGGTCAGAAACCTGGTAGCCAAGGTCAGCAATATGCAGCCCCTTTCCTGACATTTAATAACCTACTGTGGTATGTTGAAACAGCATAGTTTACAAGATAAACTTGGAGTAATTTAGCAGTCTTTTAAAGAAGAAAATGACTGTAAGACACAATGTTATATTGTAACAACGTTTGTTATTAATTAACCATGTTCTTATTGTGGAGTTTTGCACAATTTTGCACCAAACATAGGTCTCATGATTTTTTTTTTCAACAAAGATACACTCACAGGACCACCACCAAGATCATGATATGTAATGCTTCCAACAGCTGGCAATGTTCCCTTTCTGTCCAATAACAATGCACCTCCATACCCACATAAACTACTATTATTCATTCTGTTTGTGACCTATATTTTCTAGATCATAATTTTGCCACAAGTTTGCTTTTGGCTTTGTTTTCTGCAAAATGATGATGGCGGTTGTTGTTGGCACTAATGCTGGATGAGGTGTTGTTGCATTCACTGTTTTCTGGTGTTGATCTTATGACCAGTAGCTCCTTCTAATTTTAAGACAGTTTTACACAGTCTTCCTGGTCTTGGGGATCCACCTGGGAGTTCCCTTCCAGTGTCGTTTCTTTGTTCAGAACAGTTCTGGGGGATCCTTGAGGGAAGTCAACTGTTGCAGCCTTATCACTCACAAGCTCTATTACAAAGGGGTCAAAGGACAAGTTTCTTCATTTGTGTAATCCTAAAGTAAGTCCTGTACAGATCTCAAATAAATTCTAACTAGTTGTAGCTAGTTCCTACAACTTGAGGGTTAAATAAATAAATGAGTCATCTGGCAATTGCCCCTCATTAACACTTCCTCTATGCACAAGCTTAACAAGCTTGTCATTACTAGAATCAATTTATTCCTTTGTCCAAAGGGCCGTTCATCTGTGTTCCTTCATCCCTGTTCAGACTATGCTTGAGTTTCTTAATGATGGGAGTTTATTATCCTAGAAAGAATCCCAGTACATTTTAAAACTGTATTTGTGATTATAAGATACAGGAAAATACCTCAAAACCACAAAATTTTTCATAAATCTGGGTATCCTTGTAAAAATTAGACCATTATAATTTACATTAAGTATTTATAAGCACCCCAATCATACTATATGTTCAATGAAAGCAATTGCTCAAAACTTATACCACTGCTATAAATTTATTCTTTGTATCAATCCAGAACCAATTCCTTTGTCTCATTTATGTTACATAACAATATTTCAGTGCATGATGGACCACAAAGACCATAGTCCATGAGATGCTGTTGCCTAATAATGCTAGAGTCCATTTAGCTCTTAAACGTAACTCCACGACCTTCACACATCAGTGAAATCACCTAATGATTGATATATTCTCAGATAATGCTAATGTTGTTAAGCAATGTGATGCTTAATGGTGTTTGCTTTACACGATGGGCCCTATTTAACAACATCAAAAAAAAAAAAAGACTTGACTGTTCACTTCCTTGTGAACGAACAGCTAAGTTAAAGCAATGCAACATTGATAAACCACTTAAATTTATTCACTTTTTTTTTTTCAAGACAGGGTTTCTCTGTATTGCTTTGGTACCTGTCCTGGAACTAGCTCTGTAGACCAGGCTGGCCTGGAACTCACAGAGATCTGCCTGGCTCTGCCTCCTGAGTGCTGGGACTAAAGGTGTGGGCCACCAACGCCCTGCTTTATTCACATTTTAAAAAGAACCTTGACACTCTGGATGAGAAGCATGACCATTGGTAGCCTATGGGGGGAAAAAAAAACTTACCATCCAGTGAGGGAAATAACACAGATATTTATGAGAATAAAATAGGGACACTAGTGGAAAGCTATCATTTATAATTTTGGATAAAGATTTTCCTGCTTAGGACTTATACATAATGTCACATAGAAATAATACACAATAAACAAGAAACTTAGAGTTCAATGTCTGGAATTGAATCATATTTACTCAGCATTAATATTTATATCAGTTGATATCTCTACACTAACCAACTTACCTTTATATAATTCTATAATTATGCTAAGACACAGATAAAGAATGAGTCTCTTTAAGCTTACTCAGTTTACTAGTGGGTTTTCAGAGGATATCCTCATATCATTAGGACTATTAGTTTTACCTAAGATCTTATCAAAATGCAAATTTACAAGCCTCTCACCTCAATTTCTGAATCAGTAACTAGAAAGAGATCCAACACATATTTTGATAGGTCCCCACCCCAAGTGGTTCTAATGAAGTCTGAAATATGAGATTTTTTTAAATTAAAGTGGGCAATAATATTATGACTAATAAAGTAGACAGAGTAACTTCATAAAGTACAAGTCAGACCCATAATATTCAAAGAAAGAAACTATGGCTTAGGTAGTCAAAATTCCAAGGAAAAATTAAAGTCTAAGGCTATTCTTTTATATGTACAGGCTACTGGGGTCTGTTAGCATTTATTTTGCTTTTATGGTCTATGATTCTTCATGTTTTTGAACAGGTATTATCTCTCAGTTATACACAAACATGTTCATACAGTGTATCTCCAGGCCAATTATTTAAGCCAAGTTATCTAACTTTGTCTGACAACTACCAGCATTCTTCTATGTCCCTTATTTTTTTTTTTTTTTTTTTTTTCCTGGCTGAAAAGTCAAGTGCTATGGTATGGAGTAGTAAAAACAAAGAAAATGCACTGAAATGAGAGAGCAATCAATCAAGGAACAAACTTCCATCTAAATCAGGAAGAAAGGAAGAAAGAAAGAGAGAGAGAGAGAGAGAGAGAGAGAGAGAGAGAGAGAGAGAGAGGAAGAAAGAGAGAGAGATAGAGAAGAAAGGAACGAAGGAAGGAATGAAGAAACAAAGGAAGGAAGCAAGCAAGCAAGCAAAAGCAATCTTAATTTTAACACACATAAAGATATTCATTCTCTTGCAGATTCACAGAATCAAAAGCCTGGAAGTCTGCCTGGTTTTTTTCCTGGAGCCACAAACCCAGATCAACAATCTCGAACAGCTTCTTCCCATCCCAGGAAACAAGCAAGGCAGCAGCGGGATGAACCTCAACCAAGTAGATTCCTGCCAACAGCCAGTCTCCCCCCTGGTCTAGAATATTTAAGCCAGGTTCGCATGCCTTTTCATTTCTACTCTTGTGTTCCCTTTAAATGCAATTTTCAAACTCGATTTCTTGTTTTTCAACCAATAATTTAACAGAGTACTGAATGCATTATAAATCATAAAGTTATAAAGTACTGACATTATTTTTGTTATTTAGACAGAACTTTATTCCATACTATTGCCACTTATCCTTATTTACTTGACAGAGTTACATGACTAAATAGTTTTAACTTTGCCATTTAGCACGTTTATCTGCCTTCTGTTCATTGCTCAAGGTGTGGAGATATTCTCAAGGAATTATCAGACTAGGCCACCTACAGCTATAATTAAACATTTATTGAGTACTTGTATATTCAAGGCACATAAGAAGCATAACACCTAGCCCCTGTCATTCAAACATTGTATTAGTTAATGATCAAACAAAAATGTTGATTAAAGAATATAAAACATGGCCCAAAAGCTGGGGAAACACACATCTTTAAGGGAGAAGACAGTCCTGCAAACTTTTGCAAGAAGTTGAGACTTTTCAACAGATCTCTCAAAAGCAATGTGAAAGTCCAAAGGGAAATGAGTTAGCCTGGCCACATTACTGTCTTCTGATGTTCTGGAGTCCCCAGGCCAACCTGCTGGAATGCTCATATCACACTATTAGGTACTGTTGCTTTTCTAGATGTGGCAGGATGGACAGCACCTCAAGCCTTGTAAAACTTTGTCATGTGGCAAGTAAGTGGAAATTGCTATTCATATGTGGATGTGTTTTTGTTGTTCTAGCACAATTATCCTGCACAAGATTAGAAAGACTAACACTAATATTGAGATGTCAGCACATCTGCTGCCAGACTCCTTTGTTTGGCATTCTTTCAAACATAAAATCTATCTCTTTTATCAAAATCTGTGTTAATTCCCTTAAGGTACAAGAGATTTCTGCTATGCCTGATAGGGTTTAAGCTGCATGCAGCATATGTTCCTGGGAAAATGTTTATAATTGCAGATGCCTTCCCCAGAAACCCACTGGCAGACAAATGTTCTATAGAGACTGGCGAGCTCAGGGAGCTACCAAAAGAAGCTGGAAAAGCTAACCTACCATCTTCCATCTGCAAAAAGGATCAGCTGTAATAGCTGACCAGAGTTGATTAACTGCTGCAAGCTGTTTGGGAGTGTTGTCAGACAAGGTTTTGCCAAATATAAAAGTGATATACCAGCGCCAGAGGGCTGAGGTTTGATGATCACATATGGTCATCACATACTCTTCTTCTGCCCATGAATGATGACACACTGTGGCCAGATGCTTGGCGTGATGCATGCTCTAACATTCAGTAAAGAGACATAAGAACTCACTAGCTTCAGTTTTAAATGTAGCCCATTTTCTGAAAACATTCTTTTGCTTAAGTTTTTTTTTTTCTTTCAGAAAACAACATATACCATAAATTGTTAACATTTTACTTCTAAAGGGAATAACTTACTCATTTTGTGTTAACAGAATGTGGGTTTACTTGAAATCATGTATGCATAAAAAGTGGGGATTTCAAACGTATTTCATGTAAGTGGGTAAGAGAACGTCTGTTAAATAATTTTGTAGTGCTAAATGCTTTTCCTTTTATTGAAAATGTAACTTTTTTTCATATCATATATCCTAATTACATTTTCCCCACCCTCATCTCCTCCAAGTCTTACCCAATTCCCCTCTACCTTCCAAATCCACCCCTTTTCTGTCTTTCATTAGAAAACAAACAGGCTTCTAAGGGATAATGATATAATATAATAAGATAAGACAAAACTAACAATGGGAATTGGACAAAACAAACAGAAGGAAAAGAGCCCAAGAGAAGGCACAAGAAACATAGATCCACTCATTTACACACTCAGGAATCCAATAAAAACACTAAGCTGGAAGCCATTTGGGATTATAGGGTTAAAAGGAGAGAATCACACACACACACACACACACACACACACACACACACACGTATAATAAAAATTTAAAAATTATATAATTTTTAAATGAAAAGCCTTGACATTACAATGTGAGTCAAGGAACCTCCATAGATGTGAATGAGTTCATTTTCTTTTGGCTATCTACTTCCAGGCATGCAGCCTACCCTTAAGAGTAGTTTGTTTCCCCAGTGAAACTCCCTTGAAGGACATTAGACTTTCATTTGCAAGTGGTTATCAGTTGGAGACTGCTTCTGGGTTAGGAGTGGGGGCACGTGTCTAGCTCTCCTTTCAGTTCTAGGGCCCTGTGTAGCTGCCTCAGTCTCTGTGAGTTCATATAGTTTTGAGCATGTTGATTTAGAGGGCCTTGTTTTCTTGGTATCATCCATCCCCTCTTGCTCTTAAACTCATTCTGCCTCCTCATTAGTAGGTTCCCCTGAGCCCTGAGGGAAGGGATCTGATGAAGGCATCCATTTAGGCTTGAGTGTTCCAAGACCTCTCACTCTCTGCATACTGTCTGGCTGTGGGGCTCTTTTGTATTTGTTCCATCTACTGCAGGATAAAGCAGTCATCTTCCAGGCTGAACAGGTAATTCCTCCTTGAGAGGAGCATGGTACCAATTGAAGGAGTCAATGGATATATGGGCACTGGAAGAAGCTGAATATCCAATACTCATCCTGTGTCTTCATTTCCTCACAAGAAATTTGGGGACATTTAAAAATCTTCTACATTATTATTCAGAGGTTGTCTTAATATATTCCAAAAATACTGTTGGATGGATCACTTCTTTTTCTCATTATCAGGATTATTTTAAACACTGTTGCTTTTCTTGTTCTTGGCAATTCTGATTTGGGATTTTAAGAGTTCCAAAAATTATTAGCTGAACAATAAAATTTGGTGAAGACAGACCATGCATCCTGTAAGCGAGACACAGCCTCATAGAGGAATTATAGGGTTATTATTTGAATAATAAATTCTTCCTTACCGAATGTGTTCTTTAGTTGAAACATGGTACATGTTTGTTCATAGACCTAGAATAACAAATAATTTTTTCTCAGAGTTTTCTTTGATTCCTGTGGCTAAGCCTTGACTTATAAATTGTGAGTGTTTGAAACTTTTTAATGAAAATACAGACTTCATGTTGTATAGTAAGGGCTGTGGCAGAATGGCTTTCATTTCCTTTGTATCATCCTTTGCAGTTGGACTTGATAATCATCCACCAGCAAGTGGAAATTCTTGGGAGTAAGTACATCAGATTCTGTATTTATTAAGACCTATGAAAAGTCTTTACTGTCCACAAGTTTCCTTACAACTAAAATGTTATAAACAATGGCTAAAAGATCAAATGATTGCTTGACCTATTTTTTTAAACCAGAATCTAGTTTATTAGTTTAAGCACAACTATAAGTATAAACGTAAGTCTCTCATAAGAGTGACATCCAAATCTAATAAAGTTAATCTTAAAGTGACAAGCAGTAATTAATATCCCATGGATATTAATCATTGAAATTTCTTAACATTCTGAGAAGGGGAAATCACAGTTGAGAGCACATTAAAATTTAATTAACACAAATGCCACATTTTATTGCTTCACAATTGACTCAATAAAATAGGCATATAACTTACCAGTTGTATGAGGATGATTAATAATTTCAAATTGCTTGAGTGTTTTCTATTTATAAGAGTCTATATTACTCCAGATATGTCAGAATTGAAGTTAGCTCACCACTAGTTTGAAAGCTAGAAGAAATTTTAGATACAGTAAAAAAAAAATACCACTGTAAATTGTCCAGATAACTTGCAGAAGAATAATAGGGTTATTATTTGAATATCATATTCTTCCTTAAACAATCTGTTCTTTCATTGAACGGTGTCATGACATGTTTGCTCTTAGCTCTAGAATAAAAATTAGTTAAGATGTTAGTTCTGTTCTCTTATCTTGCTTTGATGTCTGAGGCTCAGTCTTCAAAGTTTAGAGCATGGAAAGAGATGTATATGAAGGTGAGACTTGCAGCTAGTAATTCTACAACAACTCTATGTTCTCATAATACTCCTTTAATTTTTGACACATGGTGATCCCAATCAAAGCATGTCTTGATAGCATGTGTTTTCCAATAGTGATACTCGGTACTGAGACCTCCAACAAATATGAGATCAAAAACAGCTTGGGACAAAGAATTTACTTTGCAGTGGAGGAAAGCATCTGTTTTAATCGTAATGTGTGTTCCACGCTGAGAGCCTGCACCCTGAGGATCACAGACAACTCGGGTCGAGAGGTGATTACAGTGAACAGGCCCCTAAGGTGTAACAGCTGCTGGTGCCCTTGCTACCTACAAGAGGTTGGTCACTGCCTCTGAGCATCTTTCATTTTTAAGATCATTCCTTTAAGTGGCATTCATCTGGAGCTGTGAGACAGTCAACCTAACAGTTGTTTCCATTTATATCTTCTATTTTAGGATAAGGAAAACCTGAGAATTTGGTGAGGTACTTCTTCCATTTGTAACCCATAACTATGGCAGCTTGCATTAAATTAAATGGTAAAAGGAGCTCATGCATCCTATAAATGAGACATAGCCTCCTGAACTAACATATTAATCAAGTAATTGTGACACCTATAGGTTTCCACTACATAAATACTGTTGTTTTCTCTGACAGTAGCAATGCCCAGGAGGTGCCATGGCACTTAACCTCTTCTAAGGTGTTACCTTCTCTTGGTGTTATTCGTCTCAGAGTAACACATACTATTTGCATGTTCAATAAACCCATGGTATAAAATAGAGTGATGTTTCTCAATTATTTTATTTTAAAACATAACTGAGTGCCCTTTTTAATAGAGCTGTAACAAGAATTTTCATTTTCAATTTGATGTTTCTGTGAACTAGAATATTATTTCATTCTCTATTCTGCAGATTATATATATATATATATATATATATATATATATATATATATGTGTGTGTGTGTGTGTGTGTGTTCTGAGATCTAAGATGTTTTATATTTATATATACTCTTACCTATATTCATGTATGTCACATATATATATATATATATATATATATATATATATATATTCCGGGGAAGTGTTACGCATATCAGTGGAATAAATCCTTACTATCTCTATGACAAAATACAAAAATGTCAAAAGAAAATAGCACTTTATATCCTAAATATATATACATATATACGCAAAATGCACTATATATAAAATATACTATATATAGTCAAAATGCAACATATATACATATATATATATATACTGATATATATATATAGTCTATCTAAGAACACTGTAGACATATACACAAGACAATAAACTTAGCATGAAGTAAAAAATGATATAAATAGAGAATTGATTTACTTCAAAGGAAACATTTTCTATTTGTCCCCTTCCAAGGTATCTTACAAAAGGATTTTATTTTGATTACATTCAAATGCTAAAATAATGTCTGAAATGAGGAATGTGAACATTCAGCAGTTGGTAAGAGAGTTTAAAATACATTGGAGTTATGGCTACAACTGAGAAGTAGTTACTGCCTTTGTCCACACTAGCAGGTATAACCCATTCACTGTCAAGGTGAGATGGAGTGACAACTGTGCTAGGGACACCAAGGCATTTAGAGTGGAGTGCAAAAGATATCAGGGTAATAAATTCTCATCATTTTCATGACAAAACACAAAATGTTAAAACACCAATTTTCATTCTAAAATACATTTATAATTACTCATAATATACTAATTATTTCATAACAAATATCATACAGATGTAAGTTGACGTTCTTATGTTGTTAATGCACAATAACCTTTTAAAAATTTCATTTTGTTACTATATTCTCTTACAGCTAGAAATCCAAACCCCTCCTGGTACAATAACTGGTTATGTTACACAAAAGTGGGACCCCTTTCAACCCAAATTCACAATCCAAAATGCAAACAAAGAAGATATTTTGAAAATTGTAGGTCCTTGTGCAACCTGTGGCTGTTTTGGAGATGTGGACTTTGAGGTATGAATGACAAAGTTTTGCTTAGGTCCTGATTTCTTGCAATGTAATTAAATTTATAAAATGTCCAAATCATGGGGCTGGAGAGATGGCTCAGAAGTTAAGAGCACTGACTGTTCTTCCAAAGGACTGGGGTTCAATTTTCAGCACCCATGTGGCAGTTCACAACTGTAACTTCAGTTCCTAGGGGGTCTAGCATCCTCACCCAGACACACATGCAGGCAAAACCCAATATACGTTTAAAAAACCTTCAGTAAAAAAATAAAAAAACCCAAATCATGATGTATCCTGTAAATATATTTTAAGAATTGCTTATTAGTGCGCTACTCTAATAAATCATGTTTCCTTGTCAATAATAACAGCCATCACTCCAGAGATTCTAAGTCCATGAGATTTTAGCAAGAATAATGCAGTGACAATGTACTGTCCTTAGCCATTTTGTTTGTCATAGTTCACTGCACACACATTATTCAAAGAAACTTAACAATGCAAATGAGAATTATAAAATCAAAATTGTTGACATGTTTGCAAAATACAACACATAAACTACTGTACTTCCTTACCTAAAATAATAAATGTCTTGTTATTTTTAACTTTAGCCTCTGAAGCTTTAAATATCAAACACACACACACACACGGAGAGAAAGTATTGTGATTTTTTAGATAACCAATATGTTGTGATTGTTAAAAATCATAGTAACCCTATGTTTGGTGAAGTTGATTCATAGGGAGTTAAAAGCAACGTGGGACAGAGTGAGTATTCGTATTTTCATCACCAAATTTATCTCTGCCCTTTCCTGTTGGCCTGCTTGATGGACATTTAACCCCATCCAGGTCTCATTTCAGAAGCATACTCCACTAAAGGGACACTGTATAAAGCTATATTTGTAAGACTGTGCCATAACGTGCTCTTGGGTTTCTGGAACTGAATATGAAAATAGATCATTGCAGATTTAACCTGCAACAACATTCTCTCTCTGTCCATCTCTCTCTCGATCCAAGTTTCCTCTCCCTCCCATCCTCCCATGTTCCCCCAACTCCCTCCCCCTCCCCGTCCCATACCCCATCCACTCCCCAGAGAGGGTGAGGCATTCCAGGTGGGATCATCAAAATCTGTATGGCCTAGGCCCTCTTCCCTGTCTCTAGGTTAAGGGGGTATCCCTCCATGGGGAATGGGCTCCTGAAGTCCTTTGTGCACCAGGGATACAACCTGGTTCCACTGTCAGAGGTCCCTTAGACTGCCCAGGCCTCCTAACTGACACCCACATTCATGGGGTCTGGGTCAGTCCTATGCTGGTTTCCCAGCTATCAGTCAGGGAGGGGTTCATGAGCTCCCCCTTATTCAGGTCAGTTGTTTCTGTGGGTTAACATACGCTTAACATATTATTGTGAACATACATTATAGGCAGGGTTGGAGAAAACCATTGGCCTTTAATGCATCTCCTTTTCTTTGTTTGTTTGTATCTCGCCAGATATACAGAGTTTTCCAGAGTTATGCAGGAGCCTACACACACTGAGAACATAAACTTTGTTAAGTGACTTTTCCTGGCCCAGAATTGTTAAGGGTGTGACAAGACTTTTTGTTTATTTGGTTTTTGTTTTGTTTTTTGTTTTTTTATTACAGGGTTTCTTGGTGTAGCCCTGGCTGTCATTGAACTAGCTCTGTAGACCAGGCTGGTCTCTAACTCACAAGGATCCATGTGCCTCTGCCTCCTGAGTGCTAGGATTAAAGGTGTGTGCCAACACTGCCTGGCCACATGGCTTCTTAATAATATGACTGAGGAGAATGTAAACAGCATGGTTTAGTTTTCATGCTATAGCTATGTCCTAAGAAACCTTCTCTATTTTCTATTTTCTATCATCATAGGGAAAGGGATCCATATTAAGTAAGTGTCAGTGTCAGCATGATAAACAGGATAAAGAAATAAACAGGTATTATAGTCAGATGTAGATACTCAATGGACATGGTAGACTTCAATGTCAGACTCATCTCAATCCCATGTTTATACATTAGCTCAAAGTGATGTATTACACCACGCTGGTTAGAAGGGAATGTGTTGAACAATGACTGAGTGTAACATAAAAGTGTAGTTTGACAATATATTTTGTTTAAAAGCTTTAATAATTCCATAGTTGATAATTTTTCACGTTTATGAATTATACCTAGAAAATAATTTAATTCATCCAAATAGTATTTTAACACTATTTAATATTATTGTAATACATATGGGTACACACACAGTATATATATATATATATATATTGTCCATATACATATTTTATGATGGCAAATTCAGGTTTAAAATCTGAACACACGTACCTTCATACTTAGCTACATAACTAAGAGATGTACCTGCTGCCACCTTGTGGTTATCTAGCCTTAATTATTTACTCCATCTGCATAAAAAAATGAAAAGGAAAACAAGTTATAATGGTCTGAAATTCTGGAGTACTGTGGAAGTAAGTATCCACACCTGTGCTGATAGACAGGCACAAACAACATAGAGCTGCCTTTTGGGGGAAAATGATACAGCAGCTCAAGTTCATCGGAAAAGCATCATACTGAGAAATGTCAGCTATCTCTTTTTATCTGCAAATCTCATACCACTTATTTTTCTTTTCAAAGGTGAAAACTGTTGATGAAAAGCTTACAATTGGGAAGATTTCCAAGTACTGGTCTGGATTTGTCAATGACGTATTCACAAATGCTGACAACTTTGGAATACATGTTCCTGTAGACCTCGATGTGACACTCAAAGCAGCAATGATTGGAGCTTGCTTTCTCTTTGTAAGTATGGTCTAAGCTGCATGGATGACTTCTGTCCTTACATACCAGACTGTGTAGGGCTAATCCTCTTCCACACAATCTTGACCTATGGAGCATGCTTCACATAAAGAAAGCAGTTTAAGATAGGATCATCATCCTTTGAGAATGAGAATTTAGAGGTTTATATTTCACTCAGGCTGGTATCACAGAAGACAAGAAACACATTTGCCAAAATGCTTGACTAGCTCCTGTCTTGGGTCTTGCTGATTATGATCCTATGGGTTTCTTTTCTTTTCTTTTTCAAATAAACCATCTTTCCTTTTCCTTTTGTTGTTGCTCAGAATTTGAGATCTCAAATTTAATGATGGCATCATCTATGCTGCTTTATATATTAAAATTATTCAAAATCTTTTGAGAAATCGGCTTAAATCTACAAATCAAAGTTATTCCAATTAATATTCCCTGTCCCCAATATATTCATTCATAGAACTTCTTCACTTCCTGTTTCTCTTTACCATTTTTGGTCATTCCACACTTCAGTATTAACTTTTTAACACACACAAACAAATACACATAGAGACATACTCTTCCACATATACACACGTAGAAAAAACACATTCTCACACAAACACATGTTCACATACCCTTCCTTTCGGCTACTCATTAGATCCTTCTGATTATTCACTTAATTTCATATTTAAAACAGTCGATCTGTGATGTTCTCCATTAACTTACTTTGCAGACAGGCTGGTGACAAAGCATTCCTAGTAAACAAAAGATGCTTTCTAGATCTTAAACCTTACTGATTTTTCTTTTTGTTCATTTTCCAAAGCCTGAATATCTGTGCTTTTGCAGGTATGTTTCCTGTCCTTTGCTCACATTCGTTGAGAGATTAATGTGATACAGGCAGGTTGTTTAGATCCCACCCAATATGTAGTACATCATACAGTCTCTGTGTGCCATGAAAGCTTGTAGACTCTCAGCTTTCCCTGGGGACACCAGGGCCCAGTGCTTGAACACATCGTCTAAAGAGTCCTCGATGCTCAATAAACTCAAATGAAGACTGATCTAGATAGTAGTCCAGTTATACGAATGGGTAATATTCCCGCAACTAAGAGAGACATATACTTAACAGACAATAGAAAGAACTTTCATCCATTTGTGAAATCATAACTTTATGATGTCTTTGCAATTTTGCCCAATATATGCTTTGAGATAGTTCCTCACATGTACAAACACTTCAAAGGTGAGGCCTTTTATCATTTCTTCCTCTGCCTGCCTTATCATATTTTCAATTGAATTTTACAGTATTGGTCACCCCCAAAATTTTGATTGATGATATTGGGATTGTTTAAATAAGAATTTTAGTTCCTTACATGATGAAAATTCAACATGTGAGAATCATGAACCTTAAAGCATTATAGTTTTTATTCATCCAATAAATCATGCATTACCGGAACTCTACTAAAAACATCATTGCTTCATATCATCAAAGCTGGCATGTCAAGCTATCTATCCTAATTGTTGCCTCTTTTATAAATTCATTCATATTCAGTCTATTTATTTGTAGGATTTTATGTTCTTCGAACATTCACTTGCTGGATTATAACAAGCACGATGACGAAAACAATGAAATATGCAGAACGCATTTCAGTAAGTAAAAGGCAAGTTTAAATGATCTCCTTCCTTTGAAGATGTCTATGTTTGACACTATCTAATTCTTTTTCATTTTCTCCTAGATGTCCCCTGGGCTCTGAATTTAATTTCTGAATGGTCTGAATATTTTAATTTTTATAACTAAATGTTAATTATTATATTTATTAAAACATGGTGTAATGAGACAATTACCTGGTTGTGAATGCATGATAGCTAAATATGCAATTACTAGTGTGAGTACAAGGTTACTTTGGGATATTACCATTCTCTTTTTATCCTTTTGAAGTTATTGCAATGGTGAGCATGAAAGATGAGAGCTAAGGCTTGCAGCATCACTGATGGGGATTCAATGTTTAGAGAACACTTTGAAGTGTCTCTGCTACTAAGGGTGGTTACTAATCAAAAGGCTTGAATTGCTAAACTATCTTTTCAAAAGTAGTTCCTTTTGACTTTCTTAAATTTATTTCTTTTTATAATTGTCTCATGTAGTCCTAACAAATTAAAGTATAAGCATTATTTTAAAATGCATTTTTTCACATTTTTGAGAGAAAAATCTCATACATCCTAGACTATGTTAATTTTCTTATTGTAAAAATGTCTTATTTATATTGGAAAAGTTAGAGATTAAGTAAATAATATGTGTAAAGATCTGGGGGAAGATAGATAGCTTCTGTTTCTTGAAGAAGCAGAGGCACAGTTATATAGTCTGTAAGGCAATTAACAAAGCACTGAGCAGACTCATTCCAGAGATTTAAACAGCCAAACAAATAAGACTATAAATTAACAAAAGCAGCCTTATCAACCAGGATTTTATCTAACTGCTATGAAGTTTTTGCCAGTAAAAAGATCTGTGACTTCAAAATGAAAAATTGACAGCTCTGGAATTGAAAACAAACAAAACCAAAAGAGTCAGACCTGAGTGCATGTCTCAGTGCGGAGGGAAGAAAGCACAGTAAATATAACTGATTCAGAGCTAACAAGAGCTAACAAGAACCACTCCTAATTCCTATAGCATGCTCGTCCATCTGCTTCCAAAGCCCTTCAGCTAGGTTCCACCTCCTGAACATCCCAAACAGGGCATCAAGTGGGAACCAAATGTTCAAATACATGAGCCTGTGGGAGATATTTTCATCCAAACCACCTCCTGAGTTCAAGGCCATACTGGGCTGCAAAATCATGCCCCATCTCAACCTCATACCCTCCAAAATAAAAACAAAACAAAACAAAATTTCTTAGTTGAACTGAAGCTGGTGTGCAGTATCTGATGCTTGGCAATTTTATGAAATGTATCTCACATTGTCTCGCAAATGTACATACTTTTGCAAAAATCAGTCTTTGAATAAATAAGTTTAATGCTGGTTTTAATTGCTACCCATTGGGATGATAAGTTGTCAGTCATTTCTCTCCTAAAAGGTCAAGATTTTTATATTTCCAGACCCAGGAAGAAAAGTAATTCATCTTAAATAAATAGACATAAATAGAGCTGTTAACTTGAGCATGGAGGAAAAGAAATCAGCAAGAGATATGAGCATTTAGAAAAGAGAATTCTTGCCAATTGGAAATCACTAAGTCTCTGAGTCAAACAGTTTGATAAACACAGGAAGACTGTGACTGGGGTGTGGTGATCAACAGGAGGTACAATGACAATGGGTTTTAACAGACTATTTTTCATGTGCCACAAAAAAATCTTAAAATGAATACTAAAATCTTCCCATGAATCACCAGTATTTCTCCACGACAGAGAAGTTTTAACTGGTGCAGTAATATGTGTCTTGGTACTTGGAAAACAAGAGAATCTGAAGTCCGAGGCCAGTGTATTATAGAAAACTCAAAATGAGCCTTGTCAATCACCAAAAGAGTTACCATGATAGATAGAAGGACACAGTCACACAATATTAAATGTAGGGGCATAGTGTGGCAACAGAGCACTCTGCTAGCAGATACAGGTCTGATCATGGGGACTAAAAGTAAAACTAAGAAAAAAAAAGGGGGAATATTTGCTAGACAGTCTAAAACACCAGGTGATAAATTAACAGCTCACTAAAATTCTGAGTTTCTTGAGTTTCAGGTAGTACACCATATGGATTTTTATATTTGTAATTTTTACTACCAAAGTAATATATATCTGTGCACCACTTAAGTATCTGATGCCTATGGGGTCCAGGAGAGAGCATCGGATTCCATGGAATTGGAGTTACATACTGTTGTGAACTGCCATGTGTGTGCTGGGAGTTGACCTAAAGTCTTCTGAAAGAACAGCTAGTGCTTTTAATATCTGAAGAATTTCTCCAGTCCATTAACATTTCTAATTCAGGAGCTCTATGTCATTATTTTTTTGTTAGAGAGTCTTGAATCCAGTTTATAACTTTCCAAATTACCTATTTTTCCTTTCCATAAAATTTGACTTTTGTTTCATTTTGTGGGTCTTCCTTTGCTTTGTTGTTGGTTTTTATTTGTTTGTTTGCTTTTTTCTGTATGCTTAGGGGAGGCCAAAGGCCAACCTTGGGATGTTTCTCATGTGCTGTCCACCTTGGTCTTTGACACAGGGTCTCTTGCTGGCCTGGAGCTCACAAATTAGACTAAGCTTGCTATCCAGTGAGTCCTGGGTCAACAACTCACTCTGCTTACTTAACAATGACATAGTTGGGTTTTGTTGTTGTTGTTTGTTTGTTTGTTTTGTTTTTTGTTTTGTTTTAATGTAGTATGCTAGAAATTGGATTAAAGTCTTCATGTTTGCATAGAAAAGCTGAGCTGTCATTAGCTTCTAAGATTTGATTTTTTAATCTCTCCTTATTATATTTTTTAATTTATTAAATTTGTATTTTGACCTTTCTGTAGATGAGTATAATGCATTGATTATTCTCTAGGCTTACCCTCTCTTGTCTCTCTCCTCCATCAATCTCATCTTCTCTCTATAAATCCCTTTATCACATCTATGTTTATGATTTGTTTTGAGGCCTGATGTGTTTTTCACCAGGGTCATCTGTGTGACTCTCTTTGGAACTATATAGATCCTGGTAGGGTCACAGTAGTTATACTACTGATGGCAGTTACTTCCACAATTTATCAATGAATAGAAACTATTTCAGTAGAATGAGAAGAACCCTATGTCCCTTCTTCATTCATGATTGACTGTTGACAGGTCCACTTTTGTGCAGAGACAATATAAGCAAGAACAGATGCATTAAGCTCATTATTGGAATGACTGTATTGTAACACTTTCTAGCCCTTCTTCAGAGCTATCTTCCAGCTCTTACATTCTTTCCATATCTTCCTCAACAATGTTCCTAGAGCCTTACAGAAGAACTTGTTTGTGGCTATGCACTCAGCTTTTACTCATTCAGCTTTTTTTTACTTATTCTCACTTTCTTGATCAGCCATGTATGACATTGCATTCACTGCTTTTCATCAAGGACAGGCTTTTGTGACTGAGACTGAGGAACATTATATCTATAGACATGAATCATTAGAAGGTAATGTGACACTGTATCTAGTTAACTAAGCAACATTAGTAGATTATTCTCAAGGCATGGCATTTTTATTTTTACTCGGGTTTACAATACCAAAAATGTAGTCCCTCCAGTGGACTCCAATCAGAAAGCAGTTGTTTACCCCCATAATAGTAATGTCACTATTGCATAATTAGAGAAAATTTGCCTGGCAGACAGGTACTGTAGTTTGTAAAGTTTACAACTAATTTGTAGAGTTTACAACTACTGGTTGCCTTCCCTCCCCCTTCCCCCTACTCCCTACCCCCTGGCAGCCTACATGATACCTTCTAGATGTATGAAGCTTAACTGGCAGGGAGAAAAATTTCCAGTCTGAGACACTGCTCCTATCTAGTATACTTCTCTAGTGCTGTGATTAAAGGCATGAGCTCTGTTTCCTCTTTTATACTGATTCACTCTTATGTAGCCCTGGGTAGCCTTGAACTCACAGAGATCCATCTGTCTCTGTCTCCTGAGTCCTGTTATTAAAGATGTATGCCACCATTGCCCAGCCTCTATGCCTGTGTCTAGCTTTGCATTCTAATCTCTGTCAAGGCTTTATTAAAACATAAACAATAGATCACCACAGGAAGTTTCTACTTATAAATATCTGCTTTTAAAAGATCATCTACACTGGAATTATAAAATATCTAAAACTTTAAAGTTTGCTACCTTGCTTGAAACAACACTAAAACATGATGAAAATGTTTCATAAATATATAAAAGCTAGCATTAATGAATATTTTAGAATACAAGACTAGTCTTGTTACACATTTCTTATCCAATTTTGGTGCAAAAAATAATTACTGTAAGCTCACAGGTTTCAATGAAGGAATCAATCTAAGTAGTGGATGTTAAGTAACCTGTCCAATTTTACAGACCTGATGAGCTTGTGCCTTCTCTTTAGGATGAAAATATAAGTGGGCAGAAAATGGGTGGGGGATGGGGGACACTTTTAAACACATAGAATGGGAATCTGGACAGGCATAGCAAGAGGGACTTCGTTTCCTCAAGATTTAAATAAGCAGTAGTCTGTTCAACTATACCTGCCATTCTTATCTGGAAAAGCAATATGAACAATGAATTCAGACTTCCCTATGAAGATAGCATGTTTGTGATGTCACCTTAGTGATGGGCTTTGGAGCAGCCAAACCAGGAAAGTCCTCTTTGTTAAAAAAAAAAAATTTAGACAAGATTAATACTCACATTTAGCCAATAGTAGTAAACTTGAAGAATAATTCCTCAATTTTTAATCCTCCTTTTGTTTGCTATTGCATTGTCTTTCAAAATTAGTTTCGCATCACTGAACTATCAGGAAACATAAACTGGGTATTTCACTACCGATACTTCATTCTCAGGTACTCTGTGCATTTTAGGCTGTCTTTAAACACCTTGAATGGTAGCAACAGAAAATGCAGAAGAGGAGTAAAAAGAATTAAGCAGTTCTTATGTTTAAAACTATGGCACTTGATTAAAATCCAACCATGTGAGATAGGTGAAGGTAATACG